CACAGATACAGAGCACTGATACAGACACAGAGCAAAGACACTGACTCAGAGCACTGATACAGACACAGGGCACTGACACACAGACACAGAGCATAGATACAGCACACATACAGCACACAGGGCACTGACACACAGCACACAGAGCACTGACAGACAATGTGCAGAGCTAGGCTGGACTCTGAGGGTCACCTCCAGTTACAACTGCACCATCAGCTGTGAAGATGTCTCTTTCAAATTTTATCTCCGGAATTCCATGGCGTTGGGCTTTGATGCAGAAAGTTTCAGAAGTTCAGAGTTGGCGTCTGGAAAAGCTTCAGAGAGCAGTTTTCCCCAGGGTCTGAAAGTGCCTGACCCTGTGCTGTTTCCAGGCCTGTCCCACCGCTACGAGTTTATGGGAAAGGAACAGCCCACAGAGAGCTCTCCTTCCTTCCATCCTGCAGTTTCTCCCTGCACATCCTGCCATTGTCCTGCTTCTCCAACACACAGACAGACAGGACACTCAGACCCACCGACACACACAGACAGACAGGACACACTGACACACACAGACAGGACACACTGACACACACCCAGACAGGACACACTGACACACACAGACAGGACACACTGACCTACCCACACACAGACAGACAGGACACACTGACACACTGACACACACAGACAGGACACACTGACACACACAGACAGGACACACTGACACACAGACAGACAGGACACTCAGACCCACCCACTGACACACAGACAGACAGGACATACTGACACACACACAGACAGAGAGACAGGACAGCCAGACTGATTAAAAGAAACACGCTCTAGTCTGTCTGTTCTTTATCTGGTCAACAGCTCTGAATATGGCATAGCCAGTCTGACATGCGTGGGTCTGGTGTTAAATTGTTAATGAGCCAATTAAGTTGTCCAGCAGTTAATGAGATGTTGCCTGCTGAGACAGTGTGGCTGTGCTGGGCTGGAGGCAGGCGGGGAGGTGCAGATGACAGGGTCACCCTGATGTCCCCCTGTCTGAGCTCTGTTCAGGGCGCAGGGTCCCAGCACAGAGAGACAGCTGGACCAGGTCTGCTTTCGCCAGCTGTTGATCATCTGGTTCTAGTCTGCTGGTCATGAATTGTGTCTGCTTTGCGAGTGTGTTGTGACTGCAGTTAGTGTGTCAGAGCACATCCACACAGGTCTGACTTTTCCTCTTTCGTCCCCTGGTACCAGCCCACCATAATCATTGAAATAACAATTTCGATACCCTTTCATCTGGTTGCCATAGAGACCCCCAAGGTGATGGGTTGCCAAGGTAACAGGTCAGTGGAGTGTCTGTGACTGAATAGTGTCACATCTCTGGAGTGGGACAGGGAAAAAAAACTAAAACACACACATCGGTATGACAGATGGAACAGTTTTAACTAAACATTCTCAACTCCTCGTCCCGGAAACACCACTCAAGAGCAAGACAGACATGAAAAACAAAAAACAAATCTGTAACTGTAATTTTGAAGCCAAGTGTTTCACAGTGGGGTACATTCCACTGTGTGTTTTGTGCTGTTCTCCGAGCACAGTGATTCACTCACACACAGACTTCCCACAGCTGCTGTGAAAGGGCCTGGTTAATTGGTTAACGAGCTCATAATGAGAATAACACATTGCGCGAAGCAGCACTTCAATCTGCAGAATTGTAACCAATCCATTAGAACTAACACAGCTCCTCAGGACAGGAAGCACACTGCACACTACACACACTGCACAAACTACACACACTGCGCATACTTCACACACTACACACACACTGCACATACTGAAAATACTACACACACTGCACAAACTACACACTGCAAACACATGAATCGCAGACATATGGCCTGAAAGGATATTTTGAAACTATAGTCAGGTAGCAACAACCAGACAGCTATACTGTGACCTGTACAGCCCTCATTACAGAGTCATGTTATATCCTTCATGTTACACGTTAAACATGAAAACCGTCTTCAGGAGAGATGAGAGGAGAGGAGATGGAGGGGAGGGAGAGTTAACTGCACTGGGTTGTATTGTGTTGGTTGTGTGAAGGCTTGTATTGTGTTGTATTGTGTTGGTTGTGTGAAGGCTTGTATTAAGTATTGTGTTGGTTGTGTGATTGTTTGCTGTTC